TCGAAGCCTTCGGAGTCGACGCTTGGGCAGCTAGTGCGGGCCGTCTTGGGGCCCTCCTGCGCCCCTCGTGGATCTCAGTTGGGGCGGTCTTGGAGCTGCCTTCTTGAGGCCCCGAAAGCCACCCGGAAGCGAAAAGGCGAGAAGCCGACGGGGCTCAAGGGACGGGGGTCCATGATGGTCAATGCAAGGGGGGGTCAGCCAGAGCGCGGGATCTTGCAAGAGCCAGAGGCGCATTGACCCGGGTGGCGCGAATTGATGGGGGGCGATCAATGGGGAGGGGAAAAAGGTACCTTTCTCGTGCCCTACATACCCCTTTTGGGGCAAAAAAAGGCCCCCTTGGGGTTGTTCTGCAGCCCTCGCTGCCCCCCATTTATCGCCGCACCATTTATTCGCGCCAAAAGCCGACGTCATTGATTTGTCATAAAGATTGGAAGGGAATGTGTTTATCCAATCGGAGGCGTCCCCTCGGGGGGGGCTCCGTGGGCGCTAGGAGCCGTCTTAGGGCGGTCTCGGGGCCTCTTCGAGGCATGGCGCAGGCTACTATTGAGCCATCTTGGGCCATAGCGTGCGACAGTGGGTTCAACCTTGAGATATTTCGGACCCTCTTGGAGACATCATGTACCCTCTGACCCCTCGCGACCCGCCCCCCTTTCCAGACCCAGGGGAAGGAGCCGAAGCGGTCACGCTACCCAACGCCGCAAGCCGTCTCGCTCACTCGCACTCGCATCCCCAACACATCAGTAGCACCCACGCCTCAGCACGGGCAAGGGCCGTCATCGACAACCATAGGGGACTATCGCGACTCCTGCGAGATGCGCCGCGCGTGCAAGGGCCCCCCCTTATTCCTGTCAAATTTCGCGGGGCGCCCGCGCATGGTCCAAGATTTTGTTTTGCAATGTGGATTTCGCAGTTATTTTTTGCTGCAGGGATGGTGGGCCTGCACACGTTGGAAACCATGCATTCCCCTCCCCCCTCGTCCCTATCAAAACAGTGATCGCGGGGCGCTCGAACATGATCCACATGTTGCGCAAAGTTCATATGCTATTTTTTGGCAGGAACGGTGAAAGGGCGGCAGCGTGGGGGAGGGGGCGTATGCTAATTAGGAGCAACAATCAAGATCCCCCCCTCGAGGGACGGTCGTCTCGCTCACCCCCACCCGTCCCTGGAGTACTCGAGTCTCAGCGGTGGCCGCCATCGACAACCATCGGGAACCGATGCATGTTTTAGCCAGGTGCGCCACGCCCGCGAGGTGCGAGGTGCGCCGCGAGTGCCAGGGCACCCCGTCTTCCTTATCAAATACCGATGCGATATGATCGCGAGGTGCCCGTGTTTAGTCTAAGATGTGCAGCAACATTCACTTGAGAGTGTTCTGCAGGGATGGTGGGCCTGCACACGCCAAGCAATCTTCCCGCCTTCCCTATCGAAAATGAATGTAAAGTGATCGTGGGGCGCCCAAGCATGATCCAGAGTTTGCGGCCGTGCTCATTTCGATTTTTGTTTAGACTGGGACGGTGGGGGGGGGGGGTCGGCATTGGCTCTGCTTAGGAGCTGGTGAAGTGGAGTAGGGGGGTCGAAACCAATTGCCTGGCAGGGGGAGGGGTCAAGAGTCTCCCTCCCCGCCCACAAGCCGTCTCGCTCACTCCCACCCGCCCTCCCAACACGTACGTAGCACCCGAGCCTGGCCCGAGCCGCAGCATATGCAGCAGTCGTCTTTGAATGGGCAGCTACTGGGGGCGCATCCACCGCCGCCGCCGCCGCCGCCGCCCGCCGCCGCCGCTGCCGCGCCGCCGCCGCCGCCGCCGCCGCCGCCGCCGCCGCTGTCCGCCGCCGCTGCCGCCGCCGCCGCGGCCGCCCCCGCTGCCGAATCGCCGCCGCCGCAGCCGCTGCTGCCGCAGTCGCTGCCGCCACCGCTGCCGCCGCCGCCGCCCCCGCCGCCCCCGCCGCCGCCGCCGCCCCCGCCGCCACCACCGCCGCAGAAGCCGCAGTCGCTGCCGCCGCCGCAGCCGCCCGCCAAGTGTACTCCTGTATTGTTTTCTGACAATGATGGTGGGAGGAGGCCGCATCGGGTTCGCTGCGCATGCTCCGAATTTGGAGGCAGAGTGTGTTTTGTATTGTTTTTACAAGGGATGGTGGGGGCAGAGTGTGTGTTCCCAGTCGCTTGGGGGAGGGGGTGTATATTAATAGGGAACAGTGATAAACCTCTCCCCGAGGAAACTCCCTAAACCACCTACGCCCACAGGGCTGGTGGGACTAGCCCTCCCGGGGACCAGCGGGACAGCTGACAGGGGGCAAATCGCACCGTTTTTTGCAGGGCTGGGATTCGCGCCGGGGTGTGCCCAGGACGGTTTTGGGCCTCAAGTGTGACATTGTCATCTTTTCAACGTCCACCGCGCCCTCTTTTTCAACGGGAAGTTCCCATCCTTGGAAGTGTCGCCAATTTTGAGGCCCCAAGAGGCTTGAGGCCCCAGGAAGCCTAAGGAGGCCTCCTGATGCCTCCTGAGGCAAATTTTCATGCTTCAGGAGGCCACAGGAGGCTTCAGAAAGTTACCAAGATGCCCCAGGAGGCCTCAGGAGGCATCAGGAAGCTCCAGGAGATTTCAGGACGCCCCCAGAGGCCGTGGGAATCCCAAGGAGTCTCCAGGACGTTCCAGGAGGTCCCAGGATGCCCCGCGAGGTCCCTCAAGGCCCCACGATGAGGAGGACGACCAGGAAGGGAGGGAGGGAAAAAGAGACGGGAAGTCGGCGGAGGATGTGCAGGAGACTGATGATGATGGTGATGATGATGATGAGTACTAGGAGGAGGAGCAGGAAGGAGTAGGAGGAGGAGGAGGAGGAGGAGGAGGACGATGGGGGAGGAGGAGGAGCAGAGGGATAAGAAAAACGACGAGAACGAGGAGGAGGAGGAGGAGGAGGAGGGTGAGGACAAACAGAAGCCAGATGGGAGCGTCAAACAGAGCAGGGATAAACATTTCAAGGACGCCGAGGGCCAGGACGGAGATACACACTCAGAAAGAACACGGCAATAAGAGACACCATGCGTAGCGGAAGCAACAAACATGATGTTGGTGACACCGCGGTAAGGCTAACAACAAGCGTCACGACGACGCTCCAGAGAGTGATTGTGATCAAATTGGTTCTACCCCCGCGAGGGGCGTTACAGGGTATACGAATACAGAGCAGTGATTAAACCGTCCCATGAGGGGAAACAGGAGGTTGAAAGACCAGATTCGCTAAATCACCTAATCACGCCCTGAAGGGCTTGCTGGACTTGACGTTTTTTCTGGCGTGGCGTAGATTTGAGGGAAGCCAGACATATTTCAAACACACCTTCTTTTATGTTTTCAATACGTCGGATGTATGAGTCCACGTCGTCGTCGCGGTCGTCCTCCGCCCAGCGGGGCGGACGAAAGGGGAAGATCGCAAACATGTGGTTTGCGAACCGGCTCACGAGCCTGATTTTCCCAGCGCCTCAGACGGCCATGCATGAAGGAAAGTGTGTCGTGGCGTAGCCGAAACTAGCTGCATGTGGCACGTCTCGTACCTCCCCGTGTTCCACCCATCTCCTCCCCGACCTCCCTCCTCCCATGCGTCGAGCCCTCCCTCGATCGTCGAACCCTTCTTCTGAACGTCCACCGCCCTCCTCGTCGAACCATTCTCACCCGCCGCTGTGCGTAAGTATGCTGCTCCACCTTGTACGGCGCGGACCAAGTATGTTATACGCTAGAGCCTCTGAATTATGCGCACCTTCTCGGGGCGTCAGGACGTCCAGACCGTTTTTCTTCTCACGCTTTCTGCCCTGGCCTTCAGTCCCTGGTTCCTCCTGCCTTTGGAGCTTGGTGGTCAGTCAGCAGCGCACTGCAAAAGCCCTACCCCCCCTTCCTTTGGGGAAGGAGAAGCGACACCACAACCACCAGGGGGGGCCACCTCCAGCGAGGTGGTCCACGATGCCTCCCCGAGCTGGGGATCGGGGATGCCTCGAGTGAGAGGAGGATGACCACACCACCTGAAACGCCCCCCCGGGTTCCTCCTGCTGGTGGTGGTGCCACTTCTCCTGCTGCTCTGTCGAGCGGGGCTGGGACGAGGACAAATCCGTTCCAGAGCTTTCTGGAAAGCTCTCAGAGCGTTCCGGAACGCTCTGAGAAGGCCGCGGCGCTCGAGAAATCCTCCAGAGCCGCCGGACCTCAGAGATCTCCGATTTCCCCCCACCCGAATTGATTCGTCCTCGTCGTGGCTTCGTCTTACCTTCCTGCTGGTGGTGGTGCTGCTTCTCTAGGATGAAAATCCTGGAGGCCTCGCGCGGCGCGCAATAGTTGCATCATCTGGTCCACACGTCCGCCCCGTCAGATACGGGACGACGTTCGTGCGGCGATGGTCCGACGTAAATCCGACATGCATCCGACGTAGATCCGACGAGCCCGACGTGGATCCTACGCACATTGGGCCTCAAGTTGCCGCACGAGGCCTCCTGGCTTTTCCTCATAAGAAGGCTTCTCCCTCTGCTCCTGTCAGGCGATCGCAAACATGGATCAAGGGGGCGTGGATTAGCGACGGGTCCCGTTTCCATGGGAGATCGCGGATTTCCGCCGCCGAGCGAGGCGGCACCTGCCGCATTCTGGGGAGGGCACCTCCCCCGATCCGTGGACAAGGCGACCGCGCGCCAAATCCATGGTTCGCTAATTCATGTTTGCGCGCCCCCTGCTCCTTGGTCCATGGTTCGCTAATCCATGTTTCGCTAATCCATGTTTCGCGAATCCATGGCTTTCCTCAACAAAGGCGAGCGAGGGGGGGAAGTGAGAAGGGGCGGGCCTTCTCAGAAGTCCCGGAAGTTCCCCGGCCTTCTGAGAAGTTTTCAGAGCCTTCCCCGAAAACAGAAAAACCCTCTCAGAAGGCGCGAGGGCCTCTGCGAAGTCCCGCCGCCTTCTAAGAAGGCCCTCTCCTTCTCACTTCCCCCCTACGCTGGCCGCCAATCTGCTCCTGCCTCCCGTCCCACCCGGGCACAGGACGCGGCCGCGGCCGCGGCCGGCGGCGGTGCTGCTCTGGAGCCTGCCTGCTCCGCCCTGTGGTCCGGCGCAGCGGCGGCGGGAGGCCCTGGGCGGAGCGGCGCCCCAGGGGGGCGGGGACGCAGTGATCCAGGTCTTCTCCTCCCCCTTCTCCTCCTCCTCCTCCTCCCTCCTCCCTCCTCCTCCTCCTCCTCCTCCTCCTCCTCCTCCTCCTGCTCCTCCTCCTCCTCCTCCTCCTCCTCCTCCTCCTCCTCCTCCTCCTCCTCCTCCTCCTCTGGTCGAGGGGTCGGGGTCGCAAGCATGGGTCGGTCGGGCGCTGCAGGATTCTGCAAAATCCTGCAGGATCCTGCAAGACCTGGCGCTCTGGCTGACCCCCGTGTGCATTGACCCCCCCTCCAGGCTCCCGAAGGGGGGGGGCAGCGCTGAGCTCGGCTCAGCGTGTCGCTCCGCCACTTCAGATGAGGAAGAGGAAGAGGTACCGATACCGCTGCTCGTGCTGGAGATTTCTCGTCGCCACGGCTGGATTCTCCTCGAAAATTTGGTCAAAATGCACGCGAGGAGAGGCCTGGGGAGCAGCGGTATCAGTACCTTTTGGTTTCCCCAGTTCTGGTCTACCACGCTTCGGCGCGACACGCCAGCCGCGTCCCAATTCTCAATCGTCGGCGTCCCGAGCTTTTCCGGGCCTCCCGCCCCGCGGAGCGGAGCGCCACGCACGATAGCAAGCCCCGCCCAGAGACCTACAGTTTTCGCTATCGGGGGCCTATTGCCGATATATCGGCGATGTATCGGCGATTCTAGGTCGATGTTCCCCCCCCTCTCCCCCTTGAGCCAGCCCCCCGTCATCGTTTCCCCTCACCAGGGGGGTCACGCTTAGCCAACGAGCTCCCTGAAGCTGTGATTGTGTAGCTTGTTTGCTTTGCTTGGTTTTAAATTCGGGGAAACGTCGGACTGGATGTTGCCAGGACTTCAGTTTTCAGCCGCTTTCTGACAGTTGTGGTGTGAGTTTTGACGGTCCAGTATCCGTGAGGTGTTTTCACAAGAAGTCGTGTCAAGTTTCAGACAAGGTCCCGCCATTCTTTTTGCGGCCCCGTCAGGCACCTTCGATTTCCCAAAGTCGAACCAGTAGTCTTTCCGATCAAACAAGTCGAAGGACGGTTGCCACGGAATGCGCAACAAGTAGATGCTTGCATGCACATCTACCTACCTCCAGAGCCCAGTTTCGAACTTGGGACCAGCAGAACATGTTTGGGGGATGAAACGGCCCTGGTGAGGGGCCGAGAAGTTCGAAGGCACCACGCATCGAACAAACCAAAGCGCCAGGTGTTCGGGGAGGGGGATCAAGGGTGTCCGCGTTTCGGTCTTTTCGATGGCGTCGCAGTCGGCCTCATTCGGTCGGTTCGGTTCGGCCGGTTGCTGCGCCGCTAGTTTTCTCTAGGCTGCTCTAAGGTTCGGTTCATCGGGTTCGGTCGGTCTCGTTTTCGCCCTCGGTTCGGTCGGTCTCGATTTCCGTGCCGCCGGGTACCTGTGTCTGGAGCGGGGCCGCAGCGCCCGCGCCCCGCCTAGTTCATGTTTTCCTGCGTGCAGCCCCCGCAGTCCTCTCGTTTCGCGGCCGCCCTCCATCCCACTCGCGCAGTTCCGGGTGCAGCCTTGCCCTCTCGCAGCCCGATCCAGCCTTACAGTCGAGGCTGATTAACTGGTAGGTCGATCCTGCCAAATCAAGGGTACCCTTGTGTCCTGCGTTTCGCGCCCCATGCCTTCAACACCTCTATGGTAATGGGGCCCCTGGAAGGGTCTTGCGTCCTCTCGCGTGCCCTCCCCAATCAACCTCGACTGTGTACCGACCTCTGCGCTCGCCGAACCCGCGGCAAACAGTTTCATGGATCGGGGCCCGAATGTGCGCTTCACAAGTTTGTCTGTCCAGAGAGGCCCGTGGCGGCCCCCCGGGGCCGTCCAAAGATATGCCCAGTGAAGGCCTGGCCACAGGAGGGACCGTGGGAGAAGTCCGCCACGAAAGAAAGGAGCCTGAGGGAAATGGGCCCTGGAGGTAGGTATTCGGATGTTTCCGGCATCTTGGGGCCGTTCCCGTGCTCTCGGGGGCGGCAAAGAGGGGGGTGATGACTATGGGGGGGTGGATATCCTGGCGGGGGCCATGATATCTCCCCAGATCTCATGGCGCCTTTTTTTATTTCAACACGTCCCTGGCCCCCCCCCTGGGCCGCGCACGTGCCACCGTCCATGATTTGCGCCCCCCCCGTTTGGACACCCCCTGCTGGCCGCCCCCGATGCTCCGAGACCGGCAGCAGCGGCTCGGGGCGAAAAGCTGGCCCGGAGGCCCCAGGGACAAGGACCCGCTTCTCTCGAGGCCTGCTCTTTATGCCAAGCGGTTCTGATCGGATTTCGATCTCTTGGGCGCCCAGCAGTTTGAACGACCAGTGGGGTCTGACACGCTTTCGGTCTTACCGCGCTTGGACCACGCGACATGTGTTCATCGACGCAGACGCAGCAAGCATTGGATATGGCGGTCGTTTCTGGCCGGTTGAGCGCTCCATCTGCTCGCTGACGCGACAAGTGTGCGTGTGGGCGTGCCTCCGGATACGGCCCCCAGATTGAGCGCAACCGACACGTGCGATCGCAAGCTGTGTTTGCGTGTCCCGGCGACGCTGCGGAAAGGGGGGAAGTGTGCTTGCGCTTGCGCACTTGTATGCGAGTGCATATGTCGTGCTGGTTGCGCGCGCGCGTGGTCGCGCGCGCGCGTCTGCGCCCGCACCGCGTATCTCATCCCTTTGGCGGCGGGGGGGACAGGAACCCTGGGACCCGTCCCGTTGGGGCGAAGGGGTGGCCGCGAACCCTGATCAGAGGAGGGCGAGTTGAGGCAGCGGTAGTTGGCCTTCGGGGGGGCTCTCGTCTCCACGGTTGGACGCAGCTCGGGCCGCTTGTGCGTTTGGACCCCTGGAGGGGTCCAGGGATGGATTGTGAGCTGTCGTTTTTTCAGCACGTCCTGCTCCGACCTGGGCCCAGGATCATATACAGTCAACGCTCCTAGGAAGGACCCGCGCCTTCAATCTAGGGTAGCCCTTGTGTCCTTGCCTCTGCGGCCCGTCCTCTGCCGCTTTCACTGGTCGCCCACCGCTCCAAAAGAATCCCAGCTTCGGCCTCCAAGGGTCTTGCGTCCTCACCACCCGTCCTTACTACATGTTTTGGCGGTAGACCGCCTATGGTCTGCGGGCAACAGTTATATCCACATCCAGTGCGTCTTGGAGCTTTGGGCTCTCTTCCCCAGTAACCGGAGGCGCACTGGATATGGATAAAAATCTTGCCCCAGAAGGTTCGATTATTACCCATATCCAGTGTGCCTCGGCCTTGCGGCACCCCTTCCCAGCAAGTCCACGACGCTCTGGATATGGATATAAGTATTGCCCGCATGGTCAGGGGCGGCTTGGTCAACCCCTCTGCAGGCGGCCCCCCTCCGTGATGGTCCCTCTCCTCGCGTGGCGGCGCGGGCAGGCGGTCGCAGGGGAGCCGCGAGGGCGAGGGTGCCGTCACGGAAGGGGCTCGTTAAGCTGAAGTCGGGCGTGTCCTTCTCCAGGAGGACAGTTCAAAAATTGTCAAAACCGTCTGCAGGAGGACATGCCCGGCCTAGCGTTCAGGAGGAGGTTGGTTTGGCCGCGCCCGATATGTGTCAGCGAGCGTGTGGTTTGCAGTCGCCCCCCTGTGTATCGGCCGCGAGCCTGGGGGAGGGGGAAGTGAGAAGGGGCGGGCCTTCTCAGAAGGTGCGGAAGGCCCCCGGGCTTCTGAAGAAGTTGTCGAGGCCCTCCCCGAAGACGAAGGACACCTTTCAGGAGGCCTTCTCCTACTCACTTCCCTCCCTCGCTCGCCGCCGAGTACTTGGGTACTTGGCATCGCTCGGACGTGTGCATTTGTTGGGGGGCGAGGACCAGCGAGGAACATTATGGATCATCCTGCGAAGAATACACGCACGACATCGAAACGTGCACGGGGAATGAACGTCCGAGCGATGGCGAGGTTGGGCCGCGCCCGAGATTGTTCAGCGAGCGCGTGATTTGCAATCGCCCTTCCGTGTAGTCTTGGCCTCCCAAAGTGGACGATCATTGAGTGCTGGCCGCAGGTGGTTCTCTGGCGAATGGAACAAGTAATGGCGGGGCAGCGCGTTTCCATCCTCCTGCTCCTCCTTCCCCTGCTCTCGCTGCTCTTCCTCCCGTCCGTCCGGCTACGCGTCAGAGCGGCCCCCTTCGCCACAGGAACCTGTTCGTGCGGGCCCGCATGGATCACCCCAGCATCGGCTTGCACGCCTGGAGTTGGCCCCCTCCCCCTTTCGGACCCCCGCAGCCTCGACCCACAAGCCACTCTTGCCTCGGGACGCTCCTGCTCTCCATTCGCCGATCCGTGAGAAGGGGGGAGCGGAGCGGAAGGGAGGAGCCCCTCGCCCTGGATCCGCCAGGCAAGGGCGGCCCGCACGTGGCGGTCGTCTACTCCAGCTGGAACAGCTTCTTTGTGGAGCCGCTCCTCCGGGCCAGCGAGCAGGAGCCGCTGCACCGGTCTGCTACCTCTCGGCGGCGAGCCTGGCGGGGAGGCGAAAGGTGGCGGGCCTCCTCAGGAGGCTCGGGAGTCCCCCGGCCTTCTGAGAAGTCTTCTGAGCCTTCCCCGAGGACACAGGCTCGGAGGCCTTCTGAGCAGTCCCGCCGCCTTCTGAGAAGGCCTTCTCCTTCTCACGCCCCTCCCTCGCTCTCAAGGGAAGCAAAACCACCCAGACCCGATAATTGGCGTTGACATACCGAACGGCCTTGGGCGTTTTCGAAGCAGCCCTGCCCTATTCGATTCCTTCTGTGGGTGCGTTTACTAAGCGGCTTCGCGTGCTGGTGTGATTGTTATGTGGGTGGATGTTCTGCCCTCTGCGCTCGCCGCCGAACCTCGTCCCTGCTTCTACTAGGGGGCCACATGCGAACCCTACCCCTACCCCCCACGATTTCTGAGGGGGAGGGTGGGGTTCACTTCGCTCCCTCAGAAATCGTGGGGGGTAGGGGTGGGGTTCGCATGTGGCCCCCTTATCCCCCTCCCGCTTGCCTCCGCCTTCCGCCGTACGCCCCTCCCCTTCGTGGGGCGGCTGCGCCCTCTCCGGGCGGAAGCACGTGCGCGCTCCCGCTCGGACTCGCGCACGCGGCGGGTGGTGACCCACAGGGCGCTGACAGAAGGACCACTCTGGTCTCAGCCAGGGCTCAGAGGAGGGAAAGGTACCCATACCGCTACCCTTCCCTCGTCTTCCCCTTTTTGGTCCTCCTGACAGGCCCTCGTCGTCACCGCTGGATTCACCTCGAAATTCTGGTCAGAACGCACATGAACGCACCCCAGGAGAAGGCCGTGGGGTAGCGGTACCGGTACCTTTTGGTTTTCCCATTCAATTTAGATCGGGGGAACTCATTCGTGACCGAAGCTCGCCGTGACCAGAACATCCCAATCGTTTCTTGTTCAGCGTCCCTCAGGGTGGCACTGTGACCCATGGACTGTGTCGACGCAGCGTGAGGGTGGGAAGGGGGCGAGAGAGCTGCTCCAGAGAAGAACAGGAGGGATGAGCCACATTCTTCACGATGGGGCCAGGCCTCGACGTGCCTTGCTGCGCGGTCTTCGGTTGCTGTGTTTGGACCGCTTCGTCGGTGGTTGGTGAGCAGCGCGGCCACGGCAGGACCAATCGAGGGATGAACGATGTCGCTGGCGCGATCGGAGATTGGCGTTATAGTGTTTACAGTAGCGCGCCGTGCATGAAACGCAGGTATCAGGTCGCCCATCGCCAGGGCGATGGCGTGACAGTTGGGCGCTTCAGACTCTCCTCGAGGCCCTTAGGCCCTCCAGGACGGCCCAAGTGCCGCCAAGGTGTTCAAACCATGCTCCCGGATCCCAGGAGCCCCTAAGATGGCTAGATCCAACGCTGGCCTCATCGGACCACGGCGCACATAGGTTGAACACACCACAGTAATTTAAAGCGTTGGTCATGCCACATTGTGGGGGTCCTCATTGGGCGCAAGTTGCCTTCAACAGAGCCTCGGATGAGCCAAAGGAGCCAGACACCGCCCACAATAGCCCAGACGAGCCTCGACAGGGGCCCAAGATGGTACAGTCGGTCCTGTTAAGTCGTTCTGGATGTTCTGTCGCTGGCGCTTCGACAGGAATGCAAATCAGTAGAACGTGTAGAGATGTCGCCGCGGAAATGTCTGGATTTCGTTCTCGCATCGGCGACGGTCACTTTTACGTTGAGGAGCGGTGCTTTCGTTTCAGCTCTGGCCACGCTCGTTAGTGAGAACGGTGCTCCAGCCTCAGCGTTGGCCCCGTCCTTGAATGAGAGTGGTTCAGTCGTCTCCGCGCGGACCACATCCCACATCGGTAATGGCACCACGTGCCGTTGGCAAGCGAGCGAGTGAGCGAGCGGGTGGAAGGGCGTGGAGGAGCAGGAGGAGGCGGAGGAAGAGGAGGAGGAGGATACAGTGAACCCGCACAGTAAGGATGGGCAACCTTCCCAAGGTTTACCCTTGCATTCTTGCCTCCTCGGTCCATCCTTGGCCACACTTTCGTTGGCAGCGCTCAGCTCGAAAAGCGTCGAAACGGCCTTCCAGGGCCCTTGCATCATTATCGTGCATCCTTCTGATACGGGTCGACTGTAGGCAGGGCCAGGAAGGAGGAGGACGAGGGAGGGGGGCAATTATGGAGGAGGGGGTGCCCCTTCGACGTTCGCACCGTCGCCGACGCCCGCGCTCGCTCCGGTTGCGGCGGCGCCTGCTGGCCCTCCAGGGCTTGCGCCCGCGGAGGGTTTGGAAGCGGTGCCCGCGGCCGTTCTGGAAATTGTGCAGGAACGGGACGTTTATCCTGAATTACTTGTCATTCCCGGGTAGATCCTGAAAGAGCGATGAGGGCTCCAGAGACGAAGCCGGTAGGTTCGGCTAGGCCAGCTGTCTCTCCGCGGCTGCCAGAAGGGTTCGTTGCGCCGGACTCGAGGTCCCTCCAGCCCGACCTCAGTCACCCCAGCACGACCTGAGGCGCCCCAGCAGCCGTCGAAGTCACCCTTCTTGAGCCAGGCCTCCTCGCCGTCCTCGATGTCTCTCCGCGGCTGCTGGCCAGGGAGCGTCGCAGCCTCTTGCTCGGGCCGGCAGCTTGTCCCGGTGTCCGACGCGTTCCCACGACGTGGGCCGCAGGCGCTCTCGTGCGGCCCTTCGCGCCCGGGCAGCTCCCGGGCAGCGCCTGGGCAGCTCCTGTGGCAGCGCCTGGGCAGCGCCTGGGCAGCGCCTGGGCAGCTCCTGGGCAGCGCCTGTGGCAGCGCCTGGGCAGCTCCTGGGCAGCTCCTGCGCGCCTTCACGGCGTGGGCTCGCGCCGCAGCTCCCGGGCAGCTCCCCGGGCTGCGCCTGGGCACCTCCCGGGCAGCGCCGTCAAGCCTCGCGGGCAGCGCCCAGGCAGCTCCCAGGCAGCGCTTCCCGGGCCCGTGGCCCAAAGACGGTCCACACGAGGGAGGGGAGGGAAGACGCTGATTTCATGTTCCACTGTTGCACATTGCTTGCTTCAGGTTCCCTCTTCTGCCAAATCATGGGGGAGGGGAGGGGAAAGAGGGGGATCGGGTACAAAGTTCCCAGAGATGGCTTCTTGAGGGAGCCGCCAGGGCTTTTTGGAGCAGGAGCCGGCTGGCTGAGCTGGGCCAGCTTCCTCCCCTCGGCCTCCTGTGAGGGAGCGCCGCAGCGATCTGCTTGAACTCGCAGCGAGCCCCGCCAGCGCGTTCCTGATGGGCCAATTCTCCACCACCACCACCACCACCATAGGTAGGACGGAGGAGAAGGGATGATGGGGAGGTCCTCCTGCTCCTCCTTCTCCTCCTCCTCCTCCTCCTCCACCTCCTCCTCCTCCTCCTCCTTCCCCTCCTCTTCCTCTTCTTCCTCCTCCTCCTCCTCCTCCTCCTCCTCTTCCTCCTCCTCCCTCTCATACATATGGTAGCGGTGGTGGAAGATCGGCCCATCAGTTCCTACGCATGTCCGTTCCGTGCCTCGCAAGCGTTTGCGAAGCTCTCGCACAGCGCTTTCTGCGCTCTCGCGTGCCCAGACAGTTCCTAGGCAGCGCTTCCCAGGTTCGTGAGTCGCGAACAAACAACGTGAGGGAGGGAACGGAAAAGAGAGAGAGAGAGAGAAAATCGGACGCAAAGCGCCCGCATTGCCCGAGGAGGGTTAGCATGGGTTTGGAGACAGCTGGCAGTCCGAACGAGGCCAGCTTCCTCCCCGTGAGGGAGCGCCGCAGCGATCTGCTTGAACTAGCAGCGAGCCCCGCCAGCGCGTTCCTACGCTTTACCAATACGTGGGTCGCAAGCTCTTGCGAAGCTCCTTCGCAGCGCTTCATGCACCCGTGCGCAGGTCCCGGGCAGCTCCTAGGCTAGGCGTCCCAATTCCGGTTGGCCGCAAAAAAAGATCCAGCACAGAGCGTAAAGGTGATCCGAATGTCAAAAGATCGTCAAGCATGCAGCGGGGGCGATGGGCGAAGAGGAGAGAGTGAAAGTAGGAAGGAGCGAAACGACAGAGGGAGAAATGGAGGGGGAAGGGCAGCAGCAAACGACGCGGACGACAAGGAAAGAGAGAGGAAGAGAAGGCGAGTGGGGATGGCCAAGGCCCCAGCGGCGGCACCGCTCGAGGCGCGTCCTTTGCGAGCCATGCAACAGCGGCCCAGGGGGAGGAGAAAGGGGAAGAAAGAGCAACGATGCGGCGGATGACGACGACGCCGACGACGACGTCGATGACGACGACGCCGACGCCGACGACCACGACCGCGACGACGGCGACCACGACGACGACCACGGCGACGACGACGACGACGACGACGACGACGACACCGACGCCGACGACCACGACCGCGACGACGACGACAACGACGACGACAACGACGACGACGACGGCGACGACGACGACGACACGTCGACGAGATGGGATGAGAAGGAGGAGAAGACGAGGAGGAGGAGGAGGAGGAGGAGGAGGAGAAGGAGGAGCGAGAGAACGAAACCATAAAGAATCCTTACGAGCCGCGCCAGTCCCAGCGGAAGCAGGGAAAGCCAGGAAACGTGCTGCAACGCGAAGTCTTACAATAGAGCCTCGCAAAAACATCGAAAAGGTTTCCACAGATGTTGCCGACACGATGCGTTCTGGTAGCAAACGATGGATTCGCACCATTCGTATAGCCGAATGTATCACGTAGGGGGCGATGTAAACAAAAAGGCCCCTCCAGATGGCGGAAGTGGCGGGGAACGGGCACGACGAGGAAGAGGAGGACCAGGAGGAGCCGGGAGGGGGACGTTGATGAGGATATGGAGAGGAGGAAGGACGAACGGAAATCGAAGAATCATTCAGTAGTTCGTGGAGCTAACTAATTATTCATCGCTGCTCAGATGCGTGGGCCGCTCAGGACAATTACGGTGCATGGTAAGGAGCATCGTGAGATGGAGCTTGTCACATGCCCGGGATACGTCTGGGCAACACGCGCAGTGCGGCGCCTAAGCGCGAATGCATTGAGCCAGAGAACAGCACCGCGAACGCCTTTCGCTTTTCTGTATTCCACTTGGTTGGCGCCGAAGGCTCATACGTTCCAATCGGTGGACACATACGCCGGCGATTGTTTTTTGTCATGATCGTGGAGATTTGTGCGTTGAGCTGGATACCTCTGTGCCTCTCAGGGTCGCTCAGAGTTTCCTTCTGTGTGAAGGCGCATGACCCAATGCGCGCCCCGCGCACGAGATGAGACGCTTGTGGCGACAAGGAGAAGAGAAAGACGAAGAGGAGGGGAGAACATGCCAGCGTTGGGGGGCGGTGGGGGAGGTCGGCGGCACCCGCGAGGAGCTGAAGCGGGCGGGCGCGGCTTGCGAGCGCGTCTGCGTGCCTGGCGCCGGCGACCTCGTTGCGGGCGCGCAGCTTAGCCGCCAAGGGGGCCCGAAGAAGGCAAACTCGGGCGGGTGGTAATGGAGGGTGACCTGAATCAGGGATGAAGCAAAAGGGGCCCTGAGGGGACCCTTTAGGGCCCCTCTAGGATCCCTGCTGGCTCCACAGGGGGCCCTGAAGGGCCACTTCAGGGCCTTGTTACTTCACCTTAAATTTAGGCCACCCACCATTACCACCCGCCAGGCACACGCGTGAACACACGTCGCGCCCTTGCGGTAGAAGACCCTGAGCAGCCTTGCACAGTTGCACGGATTGGGGGGCCACGAGGGGGGGGGCAGCGATGGTGTGGGGTGCAATGATGGAGAGCAACGAGGGAGGGCAACGAGGGGGGGCACTGGGCTCCGACCCTTGGGTGCCCGGCATCCCTTATCCGGCGTGGCGCGTCTGATGGGGGAGCAACGATGGAGGGGCAACGATGGGGGGCAACGGTGGGGGGCAACGATTGGGGGCAACGGGCTCCGACCCTTGCTGGGTGCCTTGCATCCCTCACCCTGCGTGGGGCGTCTGTGTGAGGGGGCAACGTTGGGGTGGGTGGGCCACGGGCCCTCGATCTCTCGGGGGCCGGACATGCCCAACTTGGCGTGAACAGCAATACGCTACCCCTTAGCGACAAAGTGATTAGGGGACAGAGTGCACCTCGACAACATTACGAATACCTAGTACGGTTTATGTTTGAGCCTCCTTTCCTTCTTCTATAGGGGGAGGGAGGGGGGCCCAGACCCCCTCGCGGATCGAACATCGCAGGTTGTTTGCCCCCCACTCTGGTTATGAAGAAAGCTTCCTCCGGCCCGCCTCGCCATCCTGGCACACCGCGGCCGCCAGGCCCCAAGGATTCCTGGGTGCTCCCTGAGGATGCCACCTCGCCGCCTGGTCAGCCCTTCATACCGCGGCCTCCGGGCCCCAGGAGTCCGGGTGATCTTTGGGGACCGCGACTCGCCATCCCCGCATGCCGCGGGCGCCAGGCCCCAAGAGGCCAGGGCTGTCCCTGGCGATTCACGCCTCACCAAGCCCACCCCGGGAGGCGTCACGCCGTCCAGGTGTCGTGACGTCACGCCGCACGCATACTTCGAGAACATGCGTGAAAAGTTCATCAAGAAAACATGCGCCAGCATCAAGCCGCAATACTTTCGTGAAGGACACACAGTGTGCATTTTCATTGAGAGCTTTCACACACAGCATGCGTCATAAGGACGTGCACCAATGACATACACCAGTGACGGGCACCAGTAACACACACTCACACACACTCACACCAACCATCAACGACATGCACCAAACGCAGACGCACAGGACATACCTCATTAAGTATCATACATCAAGCAAGGTCACCACCTATAAGCCATGAGTAACGCACATCAAGAGCAGGCATCAGCACCATAATCAATGAACGCGCACGCAGCGCAGGCACCACGAATATACTTCAAACACACACACACACACACACGCACGTGAATAGCACTCACCATAATCGTACACCAATGAGATGGATACATTAACAGCACACGTCGATGACGCATCACACGAGCCTACAACAATAACACAAACACACTCACCAGTAGCATGCGTCAGCACTGCAGAGAAAGAACCACCACTAAGCTCACACATGCAAAATACCGTAGCACCTCGCAGTTGCGGATAAGAGTGAGGGGGCGGCGGGGACGTCGGCAGTGTGCGAGGCTTTGAAGAAGCCCGCCGCAGGCGCAACATTTTTCAAGCTATACAGCGAGCCCGCCGCAGGTGCCGATTTCTTGTCAAAACAATGTAGATTGGTCGCGGGTTTGGTCGCAGGCGTGTCGCGGGTGGGTCGACGGTGGGTCGCGGGCGGGTCGCGGGTGGGTCGCGAGCGGGTAGCGGGGTGGGTCGCGGGTGGGTCGCGATTGGGTCGCGGAGTGGGTCGCGGGTGGGTCGCGTGGCGGGTCGCGGGTGGGTCGCGGGCTGGGTCGCGGGGGGGACGACGACAACAAAACATATCAACATGAACAGCAACAACAACACAACAAGCAGAATCCTCACCACGGATCCGCACTTCAGCCACGCACCCAGGGACAATGAATGACCGTTCGGCCCCCTCACTCTGACGACAATGACGTACGCCATGACCACACAAAGACCTTGCACCATGAGGGGGCACCATGAACACACCTCAATCATATACCAAGCACAGCCGGGCACAGCCGTCACGAGCAGACACTAGCAGCATGCACAAAGTAGAGTTATTACGATTATGCATCAGTAACGTAGCACCAATACCATGCATCAATAACATCGGCCAGACAAACACGACACCAACACCCACGAATAAGAAGCACCAGTGCCAGACAGCCATACACTAATATCCGACAGCGGCAGGCCGCAGCCAGCTTGGCACAGAGCCCCCCCGAGCGACGGTAGAGGGAATGGTGGACATTCCCCCGCCCCCAAAAACTCAAAGTTGGCACGCGCGGGGAAGATTGCGGTCGAAGTGCAATTCATCCAACCCACCGCCAACATTGATCATCGGGGGGGACATAATGTGGCATGAGTGTTCGCTAAGTTCTTCCGAGGCCTGGATGGAGGTCTTAAACCTGGATGAGGGGAGGGAGGGGGCGGGGAGGGGGGCGGGCTCGTGACCCTCCTCTTCCTGATAGAGGGGCCCGTGGGGCCTGCTTGGGCTGCCCATCGCTCGGAGCCGTGGGTGATTCCCCCGCCTTCGCACTTCTGCTGTGAAGGCCTCACGGCCAGTGCCGCCGACCCTGGCGGGGGAGCCCGAGGCGTCTGGGAGGCCGGGAGTCGAAAGGGAAAGCTTCTCCCAGGGGTGCTCCCCCCACGCGGGGCGGAGCCACATCCCCCGGGACCCCCCCTTCCCCCCTCCCCCGGGGACCCTTCCCCCATCCCCCCGAGGATCCCCCCCCACATCCCGCTCGATGTCTCTTTGGCTGGGACGTTTGACAAGGAGTGCCCGTGGACAGGGACAGGCACAGGGGGGAGCGTCTACGACGACGACGACGGTGACGACAGCGACGACTCAAACGGAAAATGATCGCCGGATTCTCTGTTTTCATTCGTTGCATTGCAATGAGCTGAGGAGACAACGAGATGTGTTGGTGTGGTTGTCCTCCGGAGGAGGAGAATGTGGTGAGACAGTGGTTTCCGGAATTTCCCTGCAGACGAAACCGAGCTTTCTCCGCGAGGCACAACCCTCCCTCGGGTGGGCCCCCGTTCTCAAGGGGCTTCCCGAGGTGCGGGGCCTCTGGGGACGGGGAGGGGGAGGAGGAGGGGGTGGAGGAGAAGAAGAAGTACGATAGAACAAGGGCGAATATGCCATGATTGTGACGCCGAGGGTGCTGATAGGTGCTGTTGGTGATGCTGTTGATGATGGTAATGATCAGGATGTCGACTAAGACATGCACTAGGCATTCGCCGCGTAACAGCACGCAGGGTTAGTACTATTGTTGCTCGTATTGATAATTGTATTGTTACGGTTGTTCGTATGAGAAATAGCATCATGAGTAGCATTATTATGATTATGGTTGTATTTGTACAGTTTAATTATCAGTAGTACTTACTATTAGTATTGCTGATATTAGTATGGTTATTCGTATTCGTATTCTTGTTAGTATCCGCATTCATGTTATATTATTATGAGTTGTGTTCGTATTACCACTATCAATTTAAATAGGCCCCAGGCCTGCTCGTGGGCGTCGTCGTCGCCATTGGGAGTATTTGATCGTGCTTTCGCTAAGTCCATCATTTCGGATTCTTGCTCGATTGCTCCCACCGTGTTGCTGTTTTTAGCGTTCTCCCGCATTGCTTCAACGAGGAGGGGCCGCTCCAATTGGCGCCGAGGTAGGCTGGCAGGATGGGCAACCAAGGATGTCCGCAGTTCGGTCGGGTGGGTTGCTTCGCAGTCGGCCTGCATTCGGTCGGTCCGTTGCTGCGCCGCTGCGTCCTTGCAGCCTGCTGCTCTCGGTCCGCCGGTTCTGGCTGGCCCGTTCCGATTTCGTTGTCGTTTCGGTCGGTGTTCGATTCTAGTGTCGCTGTGGACGCCCACGGGTCGCCACATGTTTTCCAATCCGGGGTTCCCAGAAGTCCCGATCCCTTCGCCAGGGGTGTGGTTTCAGCCGGAGCCTGGAAGCGGCGCCGGAGGGCCGAGGCTGGCGGCCAGCTGCCGAAACGACGTGCGACAAGGTCCGCATCGTCAGACCTATCCCTCTCCCCGCCAGCCTGCCCCTCGAGGTGGGAGTGGATGCCGCGATGTGCGGGATCCATCCCGAGGGTGGCAGGTCGGACAGCGGGGCGAGGGCGTTCCCAGTTGGGATGGGGACCGACTAGCCGAGTGTTGTTTCCTCACAGGTCAGGACCTCGTCCCGCCCATTGGCTTGCCATCCTGAGTAGTGGTTGGACGGTCGAGGGGCTCGCAAGTTGCACCCACGGACCGACACAGGCGGAAGAAAGGAACATCTAATCATCAAGACGGTGGATGTCTGCGCAGGAGGATCAGCATCGCCAGACCTACGGTCGGGAGCTTGGGGATAGCGTGTCGCTGCGCTGGTTCTTGCCCACCTGGCCTCGGTGCGACACGCTACCGACTTCGCCGTCCCCAGATGTCCACGTGCCGAGCTTTCCCGAGCCTCCCGCCCCGCGGAGCGGAGCGACATGCTATCCGCTCGCATTGCACAGCGTGGCCGCCGCGGCAACACGCTGAGCAAAAGTTCTTTACCGTATCCCCATCCCTAGTGGGCCAGGGCTTCCCGGCATCATCACCCCATACCTCAAGGTGGAGACGGGTGCCGCGACACCCGACGGAGATTGTACATATCCCGCAGGTGGAAGGTCGGACTGCGGGGCCGAGGCTCTCCCAGTGAAGACCGGGATGTCCACGCGTTGATCATTTCTAATTATTCGAAAGTTCTTTGATTTTTTTGGTGGCCAAGATCCTTTCATTTCTAATTGTTCTATCCTGGATCTCTTTCCTGGCCACTAGGGGGCCAGGAACAATGAGAAACGAGCACAATTAGAAATAAGCACGATTAGAAATGAACGACGTGTAGGTCTAGCGATGAGAACGTATACGGTATCCCAGACCCGCAGCGCTCACTGGCCGACTCGCACCTGCTGCTGGTGGGTGGAGGAGGAGGAGGAGCAGGAGGAGGAGGAGGAGGGGGTGAGGAGGAGGTTGAGGAGGGATCTGGGATAAGGATGAGGAGGAGGAGGTGGGGAAGGAGGAGGGGGAAGAGGAGGAGGAGGAGGAGGACCAGTGGAAACCCAAGGCTCATCAACGATGTTGGAACACACCCTCCCTCCAAGCTCCCTCTTCATTGGCCCCTACATGGGTTCGTTTCCAGTGAAGGAATTGCCCCGCAGGGGGACAACCGTGTGAAAATCCTGAGGCGTGTCAAAACATTATTTTCAGGACTTCAACGCCACGGGTTAACCTGATTGGTACGTCTTGGCGGTCCTGAATCGTGCCAGAGTGCCATTCCTGGGACTTTAACACCGCGGATCAGCGTAACTGTTGCGCCCTGACAATATTGCAGCGTTCCGAAAAAAAACGGTTTCTTGTACGTTAACCATCAGAATATGTAAGATTCTTGATACTGTTGAAAGCCCATGTGCGCGGCGCTCAGGCGAGAGCCACATATTAAAGACGACCCGTTTTCAATCCGCGGAACCCTGACAAATGTTTAAGCCGAATGTACGCCGCGCTGGGGCGAGGGCCACAGTTTGAAAATCACCCGCCCTCCGTCCCTGAAGCTCATTCATATGTTCAAAGCGAATGCGCGCGGCGCTAAGGCGAGCGGCACAGTTTGAAAACGAGCCGCCCTCAATCAGTGGAACTTTTGCAACTGTTTGAAGCGACTGTGCGCGGCGGTGAGGCGAGACCCACAGTCTGAAAGCCACCCGCCCTCAATCCGTGAAGCTCTTGCAAATGTTCAAAAGGAATGTGCACGGCGCTAAGGCGGAAGCCAACTTTTGAAAACGACCCGCCCTCAGTGCGTGGCCTCACTCCGTGAAACTCTTGCAAGTGTTAAGCTTCTGGCTCATACATGGTGAGGGCGTCTCAGGCGAAACGCCCGGCCCGCCTTTTCGACCAGCCTCGGGGTGCGACAGGGAGAGTTATCTATCAGAGAAAGGAATGGTGGAGGAGGAGGAGGAAGCGGAGGAAGAGGAAGAGGGGGAGGAGGATGAGGAGGAGGATGAGGATAACGAGGCCGAGGAGGAGGAGGTGGAGGTGGAGGAGGAGGAGGAGGAGGAGGAGGAGGAGGAGGAGGAGAGGAGGAGGAGGAGGAGGAGGAGGAGGAGGAGGAGGAGGAGGAGGAGGAGGAAGGAGGGAGGGGGAGGAGGAGGAGGAGGAGGACAAGGAGGAGGAGGAGTAGCAGGAGGAGGAGGAGGCGAGAGGCAGAAAAGGCGGACGATCATGACGAGGAGAAGGAGGAGGGAGAGGGAGGGAGGGAGGGAGGAGGAGGAGGAGGAGGAGGAGGAGGAGGAAGAAGAAGTGGCAGGCAGGGAGGAAGCAGAGGGGAGGACCTTCCTGGGGTAGGGAGGAGGTGGAGATCATCCCCCTCCTCACCCGATCCACCATGTCTCTCATTTGCAGAAAGTGGAGAACACAGAATCCCGACGTCGCGATTTGCTTACAAACGTGGACCCCCAAAGGTCTCTACCCCTTCCCCTGGAACTGTTTCTCGTCCTGGGTCGATTCCTCTCGCCTGGCGAGAGCCCTTGGAGGCTGAAACGTTCAAAGTCCACCCGTCGCGCTCTTTGCTAACGACGCGACGAGGTCTGGGGATGGTGGCAGATCGGCCGACGGCGATTCTGGCCGGCGGAAAACGGACCGGCCGAGGTGTCCGCGCGTCCTTGCATTCGAGGAGGATGAGATCAGCCCGCTCCTCGCGCGATTCACCATCTTCCTTCTTCGCAGAAGGAGGAGGAGGATGCAAGGCGACGAGATCTGATACAGATCCGCCGCCCCTGGCTGGTCACAGGAGCGGTGTATATGCGCCCCTGGCCAAGCGAGGGGGGCCTATACACCGTTCCTGGTCACAGGATGGGCCGAGCCTGGAACGACGCACGTATATGGTGCATGGATCTTGTTGTCCTACAGGATGCATGGTGGACCGGCTGGAAACGATGCTCGAAAGGTCGGGTGTTGCTAGAAGAACCCCTTGCCCAAGGTGCCCCTAGCTTTTCGCTCCGTTTTGGAGCCGCTGGGGCCCTCGGGGTCTCGTGAGGGGTGCTTTGGAGGCCGTTTGGGCTACCCCGAGAATCCTGGAGGCACCTTGGCCCAGGGGCACTTCTAGCAGCACCCGAAAAGCGGCCGCCCCACCCGCCGGTGTGGGGGCGGGCCGGCGGCACGCGCGGCCCGGCCGAGGCGTCCGCGCGGCCCTGCGCTCGAGCCCGAGCGCGGTGCTCTGCGTCGGGGTGCCGCGGGGAGAGGTCCTGCGATCGAGGGGCCCGGGCGGCCTGCACTGCCGCGGTTGGCCCCTTCCACCTCCTCCTCCGACCGTCCACCTCCTCCGCCCGTCCACCTCCGCCGCCCTTCCACCTACTTCTTCGACCTCCTCCTCCTCCTCCTCCTCCTCCTTCTCCTCCTCCTCCTCCTCCTTCCCGTGTTCCTTCTGCTCCCTGTCCCCCTCACCCCTGACATGTAGCAGGTCTGCCACGGTTCTTGCACGTAGAGGAGGGAGAGGTGGAGGAGGAGGAGGAGGAGGAGGAGCAGGATGAGGAGGGAAGGACGAGGAGGGGGAGGAGGAGGAGGAGGAGGAGGAGGAGGAGGAGGAGGAGAAGGCGGGAGGAGGAGGAGGAGGAGGAGGAGGAGGAGGAGGAGGAGGAGGAGGGGGACGGGAGAGGGATGACGAGGACGAGGAGAAGGAGGAGTGGGAGAAGGATGATCATGAGTGGCTAGAGGAAGGAGAAGCCAATGGCGACGGAGCAAAAAAAAAGAAGGCACGGGACATGGATGACGAGGAGAGAGAATTGTGTGCGTGTGTGTGTGTGTGTGTGTGTGTGTGTGTGGGGATGGCGAGGAGGCTGGAGGACGAGAAAGAAAGGAGTGCGCCGGGAGCAGGGAACGGAGTAATCAAGTAGACGAGGATGGGAAATGCGGGCAGGGACCAGTAGCAGTCACAGACGCGAGAACAGCGCACATGGGTCTGCAGGGCGGGCAGGGGACGATGGTTCGGGGCTGGCGGCCGAGACAACCGGGGGCCGCGGCGGAACCCAGGGGCATGATCCGCTGGGCAGGCAATGCCGAAATGAAAAGGTCGAGGCGGAGGGGGCGCACTGGCTGGTGCACCGAGGAGGTGGGGCGGTTGTGGTCCACAGCCTCCAGAGCCATGTTCTCTCGCAAGACGATTTTGTCGAGAGTGTCAGTGCTGATATCTGGGTGTTATGTCATGTGAGCTCGTTGATCCTCCCAATCTCCAGCATCGTGGAAAGAACTTCCGACGCTGCGAGAGGAACCCTGTCCAGATCTCTCGGTTCCATCTTTGCACCAGCCTTGACGAGCAGGCCGATCCGCGAGGGCACAGTAGCATTTTGCGGGGCTGAAGATACGCCGTGTCTGAACAGTGACGATGCAGCTCCCGGGAGGTTAAGCTCAGAATCGTCGCTGGTACCTCATGGATCGAAATCTGGCCTAACCCGGCATCATACGATTACGATCCCGCCCAATCCGACTTAGTCTTGGGCCCAACCTGGCTCAGTAGCCACAGTCAAATCGGTCTCGCGAAGTGCCCCCAGGTGCCTTTGAGGATCAGCGAGGCTCAGACGCAGGAGGGTCTGATCGGGGGCAGGAGCATGAACATGGTCCCATGTCCGCCACCGCGCATAGTATAGTTGACATTCTTCGGTGTGGGTTCGCGAGCGTGAGACGTTCAACAAAACATGTACATCACGTTTCGGTCGAAGGCCCGTATTTCGTAGTCTGTATATATATATATATATACGTAGCACCCCGCAATTGCGGATAGGAGTGAGGGGGCGGGCGCGGGCGACGCGGGCGTCGAGCCGGCGGACCTCGTGGCCCACACCTTCCTTGTTGATGGCACCCTCCTCCTCCTTCTCCTCCTGCTGCTCCTCCTCCTCCTCCTCTTCCTCGTCCGCGTCCTCGTCCTCATTGTCGTCGTCGTCGTCGTCCGCCTCCTCCTCCTCCTCCACCTCCTCCTCCTCCTCCTCTTCCTCCTTTTCCTCCTCCTCCTCCTCCTCCTCCTCCTCCTCCTCCTCCTTCTCCTTCTCCTCCTCCTAACCAATGCGAGCAAGCCCGCCGCAGGCGCCGATATGCGTGCTCTGACAAGTTCAGCGCGGGGGGAATCGCTGGTGGGCCACCCTGAACGAATGACAAAACAGCCCGCCGCAGGCGCCGAATTGTTGGTTTATTCAGTGAACGTAATTTTGGTAGCGGGTGGGTCGCGGGCTCTCCACCTCCACCTGGAAGGAGTTCAAAAACAGCCCGCCGCAGGCGCCGAAAATTTTGATTTGTACACTGAACGCGGTTTGGGTCGCAGGTTCTGCAAAAGAAACCCGCCGCAGGCGCCGAAGTTTTGGTTTGTTCAGTGAACGTAGTTTGGATCGCCGTTGGGTCGCGGGCTCTACACCTCCATCTGGAAGGAATTTCAAAAAACAGCCCGCCGCAGGCGCCGAACATTTTGATTTGTACACTGAACGCGGTTGGGGTCGCGGGTTGGTCGCAGGTTCTCCGCTTGAAACGAATGCAAAAGAAGCCCGCCGCAGGCGCCGGAAAAGTTTGGATGGGTCGCGGGGTGGGTCGCGGGTGGGCCGCGGGTGGGTCGCGGGCGCGGTTTGGGTCGCGGGTGGGTCGCAGGTTCTCCATTTGGAATGAATGCAAAAGATACCCGCCGAAGGCGCCGAACATTTTGGGTGGGTCGCGGGGTGGGTCGCGGGTGGGTCGAGGGTGGGTCGCGGCTGGGTGGCGGCTGGGTCGCGGCTGGGTCGCGGTTGGGTCTCGGGTCGGGTCGAGGGTGGGTCGCGGATGGGTCGCCGGTGGGTCGCGGGTGGGTCGCCGGGGGGGTCTCGGGGTGGGTCGCGGGCGTGTCGCGGGGTGGGTCGCGGGTGGGTCGCGGGTGGGTCGCGGGTGGGTCGCGGGATGGGTCGCGGGTGGGTCGCGGGGTGGGTCGCGGGTGGCTCGCGGGTGGGTCGCGGGGTGGCTCGCGGGTGGCTCGCGGGGCGGGTCGCGGGTGGGACGACGACAACAACAAGATACCGCATCGCGGAATTCCACTTCAGCCACGCGCCCAGGGACAGTGAATGACCGTTCGGTTCAGCCCCGTCACTCTGATACACCGCGACCCCTTTATGCACGTGTGCAAACACACAAGTATATATATAGAGAGAGGTATGTATATACATATTCCCTTTTTCCCAATGATATATGTATATATGTATGTGTATATATATATATACTAGAACCACGCGCGCGCTTCGCGCGCGCTTAGGTTCTATCTAGCTAGGATCGTCACCGTCGTCATCATGAACATCACCATCGCCATCATTCCCCCCGCCAGGGCTAGTGTACATCGTTTCTGGATGCTTCTGGCCGGAATACGAAAGGAGTTTCTGTAGTTAGAGTCTCTGGGGGAAGTCGCGGGGAAGCTTTTGTTGTCTTTGGTGTTGCGTCGCCAGGAGGTCTCGGCTCCCTCCTCCTCGTGTTCCTACCTCCTCTCTGGACGTCCGATGTCATGATGCTTTCTGTGCGCGGCCCCTGGACCTCTCGACGACTTCCTGGGGATGTTTTTTTTTTTTTCATCCTGAGTCGTTTTCTGACGGTCCCGGGACCCTGCGAGGGGCCCCGGAGGCCGAAAATTGACCGAAACCACCGTCGTGATTTTTCCAAGACGTCGGAGGTCCAGGTCGTGCTTCCCGCCTCCCCAGACCTCCGACGTCGTAATTTTTGCGACCTCGGGCCCAGGAATCGATTGGGAAAACGCACATGGGAAGGCAAGAAATGATGGACCCATCATTTCGTACCTGTGCCTTGATCAGTGGGACGGGCTTCGCACCGCCGCACATCACAAGACACGCTCGAGCGGATCCAGCCGTGGCGACGTCGGGGACTGCAGAAGGTCGCAAGGACACGGAATCTGAAAGGAAGAAAGAGAGAGAGAGAGAGAGGGAGAGAGAGAGAGAGAGAGAGACAGACAGACAGAGAGCGAAAGAGAGAGAGAGAGAGATGGAGAGATAGAGAGAGAGAGAGAAGAAGACAGAGAGAGAGAGAGAGAGAGAGGCAGAGAGAGGAAATGGAGAGGAGGCGAGCTTGAGTCAACGAAAGTCGCAGGGAAGGGGGCAGGGGGAAGAAGGCCAGAGAGCGCTGAAGGATACAAATACTGGAACCCTCTTGGGATTTTTTGGGGGGCCTCGTCCGGCCGCTCGCTGGGAGTTTGACGTAGCTTCTTGGGAGCCTCTGAACCTGTCGGGGGCCTCCTGGAAGCAGGTTCGAAGCATTGTGGGGGCCGATTTGGGGCTTCTCGGGGCCTCCTTTGGGCCTCTTGGGGGTCTCCTGGGGCCTCTTGAGGGGCCTCCTGGGGGCCTCCTGGCGGCCTCTTGGGGCGGAAGGCTCGAGCTTGCGGTTCGTGGTCCCCCTCTGGGCCCCCTCTTGGGCCCGTCTTGGGGCCCTCTTGGGCCATCTTGGGCGCCTCTTGGGCCGTCTTGGGGCCCTCTTGGGCTGTCCTGGGGCCCTCTTGGAAGCTTCTTGGGCCGTCTTGGGGCGGTCTTGGGCGCCTCTTGGGCCGTCCTGTAACGTCGGAAAGCCCAAAAGACAACTTTGTTGAAAATGTACGTTTTACGAAGGGAATGGGCCAATTTTTGCATCTAGGGGCCCTCTTGGGACGCATGTTGGAGGCTTCTTGGGGCCTCTTGGGGGCGTCCTTGGACGTCTGGAGGCCATCTTCAGCATCTCGGAGCCCTCTTGGAGGCCTCTTGGAAGTTTCTTGGGCCGTCTTGGGCGCTTCTGGGGCCGTCTTGTCTGACCGGGGAGGCCTCCGGCAAGCCCCGACGAGCCTCCGGGCCCCCCGGGGCCCACATTTGTGGTCGAGGTCCCGGCCCCGGGCCCCCGGACCCGGTGCGCCGTTATATGTATATAGGTACACACGTTTACAAACACACAACTATATATATATATATATATATATATATACAGATTCCTCTTCCCGAATGATGAGGGGCACACACACCCCGGATGGGCGTCACCAAATTCGCCCCCCCCCCGATGAGATTTGGACGGCCTCCAGACAGCTCCAAAGATGTCAGAATTTACAGCCAAGCCGGTCCGACCGGCCCCAGAGGGCTTCCGGGACGCCCAACGATCGCTCCAAGATTCCCCAGTTGGTCCCAAGACGCCGCAATAGGCCTCCAAGACGCCGCAATAGGCCTCTGAGAGGCATCCCCAGAAGGCCCCCAGCGGCAAA